CTAATTATACGTAATTCACTGTGCTCTATCTGATTTCGAAAGAGTTAGGTCGATCGGACATTATCTCAATCCACTAAACGCAGATCACCCCCCGAATGTCCGCGGTTAATTATTCTTGAGTTTGTTGGTGACCAAAGGTATACTTAGAGGCCGTGAACAAAAAAGATTTTTCTACTGAAAATACATTAAGTGATACTCTTTCCAATGGTATATTTCTTTAACCGATTTTTCTTGTAGAAAGCTCTCATCTAATCACATCTATGTATGTAAAATTTTATCATCTGAAAATATTAAATTTGAAAATAAAAACATTTGAAATGGAAGAAGGTCAAAATTATATTATTGATGTTAATAAAAATTTAACAAAATTAGATAAACATCCAAATATAATAATTATTGATTGTGACACTGGTGTCGATCAAATAAATAGTCAATGGAATATTTATTTACATCAATTTTTACAATTAAAACATCAATGTAAAACATCTTTGATCAATTTAAAAGCTGTTTTCATCTCAAATATAACATTTTTTAATATGTACACAAATATTTGTGGTTTAAGTGGAACATTGGGCTCAGAAAGTGAACCTGACATACGATGTTGATTTTATTACGGTTCCCTTTGCATTGACAAGTGGATTCAAAGAAGATCAACCGATTGTTTGTAAAAATATTGAACAATGGAGAAAAACAATTGTTGAAACAGTAATGAAATAGTAACAGGAAAAAACAAACGATCAATTAGAATTATTTGTGAAACGGTTATTCGTGATTATTGCGAAACGGTATATTTCTGAAATGCCAACTTTTTTCTTATCTACACACGTTTCACATCTAACCAATCAAAGACACGATGGAAACTGACATTATTATTGAAGGTACAGATACATAAATATAAATGAATAAATACATTTTAAATAAAGTAGAAGTGGAAATAAATAAGTGCAGCTCAACTACTTGACGTCTTTTAAACTTAAACAATATAGTTTGTTGTAAATGAGGGTTTATGGAATACTTAGTGGTTGTGCTTTGTTACTGGTGTACAATAAACTAAAGAAAAAGAAGAATATCTTGTCCTTCTAGTATCAGTGTTTCTCGGGAATGGTGGATATACACATGAATTAGAAATATGCATCTGCTTGAAGAATCTTGTGCACATTTCTCAGAAAACTTAACCACTTGCTACATTCAAAAGCCCATCTAAAGTACTACAAAATGCAATAGACTGCTTCTTGTGTTCTGTGGCCCAAGACAAATTCTCTGTATGTGTACTCTTAAAAGTCTTCTAGTCTGACTTGTGTGGATCCCCATAACGGTTTTCTCACGGAAAGACTTTTAAAAGAATTTCTACTTTTTTTCCCTCTACTATTTGCCTGAAATAATCAAGTATAATCATTTTATGACATCAAAAAAGTTTTAAAACATCGTTTTACTACAAATTTCTTTACTTGCAAACAAACAAAAAGGGCACCATATTTTGTCCGCTTGTAGTGCGTAGTCTGACGACTAGGTATATTTGTTTTAGTATCACTAACTGTACACATCAGTGTGGAAATACTTTAGTTAAATATACCTGATCATTAATCTAAAAGAAAGAATGTAACACTAGAAAGTTCGGTTACAGCTTGTTGACAATTGATTCAGATTCTTTTTTGTACTTTCGTAGAAGTAGATAATTGCTGATCAGTAGTTGTTAAGCATAAATATCTTGATACGAAGTTCCAGCAGCAACAACAAGATTGATTTTGTTGCTTTTGTCTTGTATAATCATGGTAACTTTCCTTTGCTTTTTCATATAAATATTTGTTTAATGGTAATAGTTCCTGTCTCTGACAATATTCAAGCAGTAAAAAACATACATCAATAGAAAAATTAACGGTTGTTAACTCGGGATGATCAGTGTCAAAATCTAACTTAATCATTGAATGAATATACACATGTAGGAGAACTGGTAAAGCCGATGCAAATAATATTGGACACTCAATTAAGTCTGTACCTTGTTCAAATAAAAAATTTAAAATAATTTCATCACAATATTTTGTAGATATGGGTATTTGTAAAGCTGTTATACTACGTAGATAATTTTCTATAAATTTTTCTTCATTTTCTAATAGAGCTGATAATGAAAATGCTGCTGCTTCATAATAGTTATAATTACAATATCGTAAATAGGCAATCATAGCTTTGCCAGATAATTTATCATTGAAAGAAAAATCATTAACATCAAATAATGGATAAGAATTTGTATAATGAAAACGAACTTTATCTAATGTGTTTATAATTATTTCAGAATCATTAATGTCGTTAATATAGGAAATATTTTGCAAATATAAATTTCCATAACATCGTTCAATGATGTTTGTAAAATTAATATATGGATTTATTTCATCTTCGTCATCGATTTCCCTCGTTTCTTGTTCTTTATACTGTGTCGCTAAAATATCTAATATTGCAATTAAGTCTTCAAACGTCAAACCTTTGTTAGGATGAAATACATGAGCTAATCGTGTAAAGATGCAATCATAAGCATTGATTAACGGCATTACAATGGTGTCACGTTCATCAAACGTTAAATAAAAATCTTTTAAACGACTTAAATTAGTCTCAAAATGTTCATCATCAAAATGTTCATAGTCATCATTATTTTGTATTTGTTCAAATATACATTCAAAAAATAACATGAACATCGGTTTACTGGCAATGATATTTTTCACATCAATTTTATGTTCTAATATACGATTTATCTTATTTATCAATGGATTGATCATTGAAGCAAAAGACGTGTCATCGATTCCCATCAATAAATTGTTTGATGGTATTATGTAATGTGGACAACATCTATTAACGATACATATTTTTAATTCAATAAATAATTGTTCAATACAATCCAGAATAGTCTCTGGTAAACACCAATTTTCACCATATTTTTCACAAAAGTAAAAAAAAATATTTTTCAATATATAACTACCAAATGGCGGTGATGAAATAACCTGAAAATTAGAGTAACGTAGTGTTATTAGTTCTTATTAGCGATGTTTATATCCAGGCAGAAAAATACAGGTAAAACGAGATGCAGGTGTATTCATTCGCTGACATGTAATCAAGAAAGTGAATTTTAACAAGGCTAGAAGTGAGACAATTGGATGTACAAACATGTGAAAAGAAAATGTATGCTTTAACCGAGGATCGAACCCTCCCCAATCACTTGTTCGAGGGGGTAATTCGAGTGCTCGAAAATATGCTTTCGATGAGCCCTCGCCGAGGAGTGCGTCGTCCGAGGGTGTGACGAGGTCACGGAAATCCTAAACATCTCTGTCCGACGGTTCGGAATTTTTCTAGAGGATCCGCCGTCAAACTGAAACCCGAGGGCCCAAAATCGTTAACCTTTCGAGTGTTCATCTCGATGGTCCGAAATCTGGCTTTTCGAGGGGTGAAGTCCTTGCTGCATCCCTCGAATGACTTTTTTCATCTGCATGAACACTTTGATAATAGGTTTTGTTTATCAAATTGTCTCACTTCTAGCCGTGTTAGAATTCACTTTGTAATTCCATCAAGTCTTGTTTCATAATTCATCTTTTATCAAGAAGTTTCTGTCTACATCATTAGCTGATGATAAGGTGGAATATGTGAAACGTGTTCTTCCTGGAAACGATGAAATTAGTTTTTATGTCCAAAAGAACAATCTTCTCTTACCCGGTTTCCATCATTATTTTGTAATAACTCTCGGTTTGTTTCATTTAAGACATATTCTTTGTAAATTGACTTGAATAGTACATAGCACAAACGTTGATTTTTATTTAATGTTTTTACTAATTCTAATTCAATTAATGAAAATGATATTCTCCACTCATGTTCATGATTTTCACTCAGTTTATATCCAACTGGTGTTAATAGACAAGAAATCGTATTTTGAGAAAATTGTTCAATAATTTCACGTGATGGCCACTGTCTTGATTCTCGATTAAAATATTCTCGAGTAATACTTGGCCATTGTTTGAGTTTATAACAAGGGACAATATCTGATTCCATTTGTTTAACTAAGAGACGATCATCCGTCGGCCAAAGTGGTGTTGATAAACACCATGCTGGTCCGTGTTCATACAATGTATTTTTCTCAAAATTTTCTACATATTTTTTATTTTTAAGAATTTGGGATGAGGAGACAAGTTGTCCGTTATTTCGATACACTAATACATAACAGGAATATTGACTATATTCAAAATAAAATTCATCATTATTCTCCACTTCACCTACTTCTATATTTTCAACAAACATTTGATCAATATCCGAATCACCATACGGCATCCATTGTTCACCACTACTACCAGAAATTATCACGTTCAATATATTATATTTTTTCCTGCAATATTCTTCCTGTAGTAAATGTTTAATCTTTTCACATTCTAAATGTACTTTCATCACTGTATCATTACAAATATCGTATGAAAATATTAGCGATAATAAAGATGAAAAATGTTTGGATGACAAACGAATAAATGAATTGAATTCATATTGATATTTTCGATAAAATTCAATTGTATACAAATGAGTTGTATCTGTATTAGATGTCATGAGCAATGAACAAAAAGTGTACAAAAAGGGGCTGCTAAAGATATTCGTTTAGCGTGTGCATGCTGAGAGAAAAGAAAGAAAAAATTTTACTTTAATTTGTTTCTTTTCATTTTTTATAATAGTGAGAAGAAAAACTAAGCAAATATTTTTCACTGTTGAATAGTGGTGTTTTTAGCTAGAAATGTATTATTTTTATAAGGCAGACAAAGTCAATGATGAATAATACTTAAATATGCTGTCGTTTTAATGTATTCTTCGAGTACAATATGTGAAAAAGCATGTATTTTTTTGATCACCAAATATCTTTCTATCGAAATGATCATCAGAAAATAACACTTTTGATCACCAAATCAATTGAAGAAAATTTAAATCAAAGAAAATATATATAAGAAGAATATACAGCAATTAATTAGCAATGATCACCAATTAATGAGTAGACAGACAAGAAAAAGAATATAAAGAAAGTTTAATTTATTAATATACAACTGAACATGAAGAAATATTGTACAGGATGTTGCATAACCTTTTTCCTGGGGGATAACGACGCGATTTTAAAGTGGGTACCTAATGAATTTTATACCAAATGGAAGCCCGTAAAAAACTGGATCTAGGACTATAGTTAACAATTCAATAGACGCAGATAGTCAATCCAAGTGATAAATGTACAAGATTGTGGTTACTTTCTTGCGAAGAAAATAAAGTATCAAGTAAATGTGGTTCAGTTACAAATGATATATCAAGCGAATCTTTTATTTGATTTGAATAGAAATGATACATCAATATCTAGTGTGACCGCCGTTGGCTTCACGTACAGCTTTTAATCGCTGAGGATACGATTTCAATAGACTTTCAAAAAGTTCTTTTTCATTTTCAAGTTCATGAAGAACATTTTGAAGATGTTCAAGCAAAACGACTGAAGAATTTGTCGGACCGCGTTCGCTGATCATCAGACTTTCTACTTTGTCCATTAGAATTGATCCAACATTTTCCGCCACATTCAGGTCTGGAGAACTGCCTGGCCATTCTGTTCGGTCAAAGAAATTGATTCCAGAGTTTTTGAGCTGAGTGGCATTTGCTTTCTGACACGGAGCGTGGTCATGAAGATAAACAACTTCTCCTGGATCTAATACATTTTCGGAGTTCGAAAGGAATGGAATTACTTCTTCTGTCAAAATACGGTGTCGATAATAAGTTCCATCCCACGGTGCACCATTATCTTTGATATTAGGTACCTATTTTAAAATCACGTCGTTACCCGCTTGGGAAAAGGTTATGCAACACCCTGTATATACAAAGAAATATATCAATGGTATATTTTTGTAGCCAGACATAAAGTGCCAGTCTTATATTATGCTGACGTTGCTGGCATGAACTAAGAACGTCAGTTTTTTGTCGCTTTCAGTGCTAGAATGTTGTCGGGTGGCTCACTCTCACCACTCATCACGCTCGCCACCACCACTGTTATCCAAGTTTTTGCATTCTTCTAGGGAGATTTCTTTTGCGAAAAAATTCGAACTTTTTACTCTTGTTCCCGTTGAAATTAACTTGAGCTTCAACCGTTGAATGACCTTCAATCGTTGAAATTAAGCTTCTGTTCTGCTCATATTTCTTCTTGTATATAAGTTATTTTCTTTATATTCTTTTTCTTGTCTGTCTACTCATTAATTGGTAATCATTGCTAATTAATTGCTATATATTCTTTTTATATATATTTTCTTTGATTTAAATTTTCTTCAATTGATTTAGTGATCAAAAGTGTTATTTTCTGATGATCATTTCGATAGAAAGACATTTGGTGATCAAAACACATTTTGTCCGGTGAAAAATATCAAAAAACGGCTGCAACGCATAACAGTGTACTCTAATTATTTAAAATACATCATAGCAGGCAAAAAGTCGCCGCAAAACATGACAACGACTTGTGTTTGTGTAACAGAGACCGTATCGGGTCGGGTTCGGGTCAATGTAAAAAATACTGATTCGGGTCGGGTCACAGAAAAACAAATTCGGATTTTATTCTGGTCGCCACTAGAAAACAAAGCAAGGGATTTTCTTCAATTACGGTTCACTCATCTATTTACCAACATGTGTCCTTTTTTGTAACGTCTCAACGGAGATACAAATTATATTCTCAGCTGAGATACAATTCATATTTTGTTCAAGTATCTCAGTTGAGAAACCAATATTTCTGGGAAAATATTCGTGGGGAAAACTCCGAGCTCTGTTTAATGCTGCATAATGAGCAATCATTGATTACTCATTATAAATACTCTCGGTTTAAGAGTAAACGCCAACATAATTTTTTTGTTTTTGTTTACTAGAAAATCTTCTACGACTCGCATTTTGAAAAAGCTTTGCATTCTTCTTTCTCTCTATTACTAACATTGCTATCAAATCCCGTGATATACACGTTTGACTCTTCGTATTAAAACGCCTTAATTCGCTGAGTTTACTTCCAAAGTCTAGGTTAGTACGTTTTATTAGTACTTTAACGGAGTTGGGTCTCAGAACGTTTCGTATGTCAAAACTTGCATATTTTTAGACAAATAAGATAGTTGCTCTCATTTTTAAAAATTTATCGTTTTACTCCAATATCGGCATCGATATTGGCGTGCATGGTATATACAACTTTCAGAGCATTGGGATTATTTTATACCACCGACCGTGATTCCACTATGTCAATTAGGTTCAATTATTCTTTCAAATTTGTGAGCGTCATGAATGTTTAGAACCAAAACCAGATTTGTGGGCACATCTGCACTTATCAGTTAGTTTTTTACAATGGATTCCGCATACTGTCATATTTTTAATGTTTATCTATCCTTCAAAGATCTATATAAAAGAATTTTATTCAAATACATTTCCATCATGGATAACAAGCTTACACTGTTGACCTTACACAATCAACAGTCGTCGTTTCTCGTCGGATCAAAAGCTAATTGAGAATTCAAGTAAAGCATCCATATCGAGTGTTTGTCAAGGAGTCAATTGGCAATTTGATGGAATAAACATCGCTTATTTCAAAATCGAATTCTATTCGAGCAAACTCCTTCGCAAGATATTTGCTCATTGCAATCACTTCGTGGTCTTACCGAGGACTTCGTTTCCACACGGAATTCTCTGAGTGATTCTCCGAATAAAATCGTCGATGTTTCAAAAACAGTCCTCGCACCACCAGCTGGTCCCGAGATAGGTATCATTTTAATTGGTCCAATTCAAGATTTTCATTAGACTGGAGATCGACGCTGTGGATTTTGATATCGAAGGTCAGTGTACTTCGATTTACGTGCAAAACTCTATCAATGATTGGTTTCAAATCAATGACTCCGTCGACAAAGTCGCCAGTGCTTGTTCACCTTCTAGAATCCCTTTCGATGATATTATCTCGGCATGGCTCGTTTTTTTTATTCATATTTGTCATATTTTATCATGAAATAAGCACCAGGACGTTGAGTGCAGAAAAACAGGAACGAAACATTTTCACTTTCTTGAGCAAATATACATTTAACTATAAATGTCAATTGTAAATGTTCTTGACACTCTTTCATGAGGAGACTGAAACGTTGTCTAATAAATAAGAGAATTTTGTTGAAATAAAAATTGTACCATAATGGCTACTGTTAAAAGCCTAAAACTTGTTTTACTGCAATTGCTGGCTCTCTCACACTTCAATTATGTTCTAGATACGTTTACTACATGTTGTTCAAACGTCCAAGCGGCAGTATACGTGACTTTTTTATGAAAAAGCACGAGAATGATACTAGTACAACAGTAACGCTACCTGATACGAATAGTTTGCCACGTGGTTTAAACAATCTGCCACCAAAGTGGTATGAACCCACTAATCAGCCCTCTTCATCAGTTCCAGATCTTCCTGACATTTCAAGTGAAAACGATTCGAGTGATCTAATTATCGCAACAGCCAATCCTTCCATTGTACTTTAAAATATCGAAAATTTGGCAACAGACGAGAATGAAAAAAGACAAAATGGAACCGTTACTTGCAAGTCACCAGCAGCAGCAAAAACTACTTTTTTCTGTTATTACTTTTGTGATTGCAAAAATATCCATTTTCAATTTCGCAGGTGTCAAAATCGGAAAATCAAATTCTGTAATTAAAATCGGAGCACATTTTATTGATGTCAAAAGAATTGTCGACGAATCTGAAAGTCTGATAAAACGTTCAACAGTCGTTGATATTGTACAAGAAAATTTCATTTAGGACGCACTAGAACATTCCAAAAAAAATGATCGATTTAGCAACACATTTAAAAATTATATGCGAATGTAAAATTAACCATTTGAAGGAGAATAGAGGTAACTAAACAGATTTGATCACGATAGAGTAAGAGTAACGATCAGAAATGAGATAAGGGATGGCGTCACATTGTTCATCGCTTTAAGCGTTTTCTATATTTGATAGATTTATTCACAGAAACGAAAAGTAAGAAACGACAGAGATTTTTTTTCTAAAATAGAAGAACAGGACAGAAAAGAATGATATAACGTCGATATATGAGATATACGTTAGATATTTCTTCTAAGTTTGAAATTTCTTTTTGCTTTTGATCCAAATGCTCACATAAAATTACTCTATATTCTGTGAACTAACAGGTTAAAGTAAAACTAACTATTTAAATTAGAATGTACACCTCTTCGTTTTCTATGTCAGTTTGAAGTACACAAGATATACTATTCGCCGAGCCATTTTTTAGAAAAGGGTGCAGTCTACTTTATGAGATACAGGGCTGTCAATAATAACGAAGCTGAATATGAGACATAGATGTACTTTCTCTGCCAATTAACAAGCGAAATCATTTGTTAAGGAGTTCTTTAGTAGCATGACTTTCCGGCTTTCTCTTCGGATCATGGTAGTCTTAATTCTGCATCCTATATTCTGTCAAAATTAAACTAACTATAGGGGATCCATTTTCACTTCTATCTAATCCACGCACTAGTTCAGCTAGATGAAACTTTG